TTTCCGGTTCTGTTGTGCAGATTTCATTTTCATTTTCTGGGCCATCGCAGACATTTATGCTTCAGGTTGCCCATGAAGAGCCCCATCCCAATTAGAGAAAATATGCTCAGGAAAAATAGAGTTAAGATAATGACACCAGTGAGTTTCTTCAAGCAACGAATCAGGATCCCTACAAGGATGCAGACCTGAAAAGAGAAGAGTTTTTTTGATAAGTAAACATCTTAGTAAACCAGCATTGCAAACTTCTTCCATGGCAATGCATGCTCCATTGAAATCAACAGCTTTGTGTCTTATAATCTAATTTACTTTATTTAGGTCTAATAAATAATCAATAAAACTGTGAAGTTTCTATATTATTGCTGATTTATAATACCTGATGAAATAATTCAGCTACAATATTTCAAATTAGTTGTTTTCTCTTTACCATATAAAGAATAGCAGCTTTTCTCTCTTGGTTACAACTTCTATACCATCCAGCCGTGTCATAAGCTTAATAATGAGTGAAAATGTATTATCTCGTGATATTGAACAAGTTATAATATCATTTCTATACCTCAGATTTATCATTTTGAAATGAGAAAATAATAACACCTAATTCATATATTATTGTGAGAAGTGACCTCAGTTGATTAGATTTCTGTAGTGAAATAGGATAGGATTGAAATAAAGTCATTCCTGTGGCAAAAAAAGGTAAAATCTAGATTAAATAACAATTTTTATTGACATTGCACGAAATATGTGTTTATAGCCTACTTGTGCCACTTAGGATTATACCATTATGTTTTTTTAACTATCAGCAAGTCTTTTAAAATATCATATTAGAAATATAATAGAATTTCTGTGTCCAATATACAACCACGTTTAAGTGTTGATACATATGTTCAAATTGTTTTTAAGAGATGTTGAACGAAGTGTAAATCAGGCTATAAGCTTTCACTAAAACTGGGACATTTAAAAAAACATTTTGCCAATATAAGATCACTTTAATTTCTGTGGTTACCACCATAAATAAATTTTAAAAGTATGTATGTTTCCATTATGTACTTATTTGGTAACTGTAATGGGTCCTTTGTATACTTGTATTCTCAAATTTATTTCATATTATTTGTTAGAATTATAAGAGTATATAATGTGTATGCATATGTGGATATATATATACACAAACAGATATATATACCACAGTATACCAGTTTCTTGTGGAGCTTTAATTTAGTGGTAACATTTTGTTTGAAGGCAACTGTCACCATCAAATTTTACAGAATTAAATTTATTAATTAATTCATTATTATCTGCCATTCAGATTAGTGTTAGAAATGTACTGGTCACATGGCAATCTTGATTTTAATTTCTGGTATAACTTCTTCCTATTTTTATTTATCATTGTGTTTAGTTATGTATCTAATGGAGTTTAATTTTATATCTGATTTAATATTAAAGTTTCTGCCCCCTTGACAGAAAATATTTAACCCAATTGCATGTATTTTTGAAAATTAGCTTTACTTTCTGGTATACTTTTACCATTTTATTATTTGATTTCTATATTTTCCTTATGATTTACTGTTTCCTATCCTTTATTATTATATTATTTATATATATATTATATTTTTAATATATTATATCACACTACATATTATTGTATTATATTAATTATAATATATTATATAATATATATTATACTATTATATATATAATATATAATAATATATTATATTATATTATATATATTAAATAGTAATAAATTATATTTTAATATAAATTAAAATTAAAATATTAATTATAAAATATAAATTATATTATTATATATATTAATACTATTATATGATTTCCTTTATTTACTATTTTAGAAAAAGTACATCTTTTGAAAAATTTTATCAAGTTTAAGTTCCTATTTTGAATCACACGCAAACCTCTACATCAAAAATAAGGCTATATCTACTATAGTCCCACCATTTAAGATAAGAAAAAAACCATATTTACTTTCTCACTTTTTCGTATTTCCATTTCTGTTTTAATGTAATTTAGGATTTTGTCCTAGTTATGCTTGTTGAATA